CACGTCTTTACATTCTGTCAAGTAAAAAGTTCTTCCTTCTATTCAGACCTCTGTGAACTACCTTTTCAATACTCAACGGACCCACTGGAAAATAAGATTCCCAGAGTCCCTTCCCTTCCCTTTCCTTCAATAAAGATTTATTTAGTACCTTATCTGTGAGGTCCTGAGCTAGGCCCTGGGAATAGAGATAAGTCAGACATAATCCATGTGCTTGACACACTTACAGCCTACTTCAAACCATGTGAAAAGAACTAGAGTCAGAAGCACAAGGACTGTCAGAGCATCACAGACCTTGGAAGTCCAGGAGGGCTTCCTGGAGGATGTGACATCTGGGCTGAGTTTTGAAGGGCTATTAGGAGTTGGCCAGGCTTGTCCCAAATAGGGCAAGAAAGCAGGATGTTTTGGTGGAACTACTGTGCAAAGAGCTGAAGCTGTGGAGCCCAGACTGCGCGGGGGACCTGATGCCAAGAAGCTCAGACTATATATCATTTGATTGGGTGCATAAGAATCTCCTGGGATTTGCTTACGTAGAATCCTGATTTTCAGGAATTCCCGGGTGGTCCAGTGGTTAAGACTCTGCACTTCCACTGCAGGGGGCCTGGGTCTGATCCCTGGTCAGGGAACTAAGATCCTGCAAGCCACATGGTTCAGCCAAAAAAAAAAAAAATCCTGATTTTCTTTTAGTACGTCTAAGTGGACCCAAGAATCTGTTTTAAGTAGGTGCCCCAAGAGATTGAGGAGTAGGGGGTCACCACTGCTCTAAGGGCCAAAAAGTCTTTGAAGGATTTCAAAGAGGACAGAATTCTTGGTCCCTATCTTTGGAACCTCATAGACTAACCAGGGAGACAAACAGGAAAATAAGTAATTATAATGAGGAGCAAAGACCATTAATTCTTAGAATTTCAAGAAAGATATTCTTAGTATTCCAAGAGAAAAGTGTGGCATACTTGGACTTGTGATTCTTTAGCCATGAGGATATTAATATTGGTTTGCTGGCATTAAGTTACTGAGCATGTACTTTAGGGTGCCAGGGTGGCCCTGTGTTGGGTCCTTTTCCTTCATTGTTTCAAAAACATTCTTTTTTTAAAAGACATCTTCCTGAATAGAATCCAAGAAAGAGTACTGATCCATTCATGTGCCCGCTCCGGCTTACACAGGAGCTTTACTTGATAAGCAGTTAGTTTCAAAACCAGTACAGTCCTGCAGCTTACACCGGTTCTTGGATGTGCAGAGAGGAGCCTGAGCCTGATTTATCTTGAGGTGGTTGGCTAAGATGCCACTCTGTGCTGTTCATCTCAGCGAGCAGCCACTGTTGGCCTAGCATGTACCCAGGCTCAAGTCCCTGTTCTCCAGGAACTCCACGTCTAGCTGGACGTGGAGACCATAAATACACAAATAACACAGTGTGATCAGCACTGTGACAGATGGGAACTCGGGGTACTAGTGGGTAGAGAAAACCTCTATCCTGGCCTGGGGGAGGAAGGGAATGCTTCCAGAACCTTAAAAGATGAAAGGCATTCTACTTAAAAGGTAGAAGGGCATTTCAGACAGAGGAACCAGCAAAACAAAAAGCAGGGAAGTAAAAAAACCAGCCTGGGTGTTTTTGTAATTACTTTTTTTTTTGGCTGGGGGGGTGGCGGTTGGGAGGGACCGGGGGGGTGGGGGGCGGAGGGCGGAGTGCAGAAAGTACAAGCAGTTCGCTGTTGCAGAAGCCTGTTATGAACAAGATGGGGCTAAATACAGAGGAGGGGCTGTATCATGGGGGTGGGGATATGTGTTGGGGAAAGAATTTTGGCCTTTCCCCTTTAGACAGTGGGGAGGCCTGATTTATAAACTGTAACACAATCACCATTCCTCAAGCCTGGGGAGGGGCACCAGCTGGGAATAGTTTCCACTCTGGGCCCCCAGCAGGTGCAAGTCTTCTCAGGGACTCTCTCTCCACTGGGGCAGCAAGAGAAGGGAGAAGGCAAGGCAGGGCCCACCCCAGCCCCTCATCAGGCCTGCCTCCTGCAGCTGTTTGATGCCTGCACAACCCTAGAGAGCTGAGGCCCATCAGCTCCCTGGATGTGAAAAGAATGGCAGCAAAGGCAGCCTGTTTTAGAAGCTAGACTACCTCACAAGCAAACATTGCCACTTGGAGAGAAAACAATTATCTAATTGTAAAATCTGGTCCCATAAAAATCTTTCTAAAGGAACAGTTATCATTCTGTGATAGGAGCTACTATTTAATCTTCTTAACAACCCTAGCAGAAGGCATTGTTATCCCCATGTGAGAGGTAACAAAATTGAGACCCAGAAGGTTGGGTAACTTGCCCAGGATGGCACAGCCAATAAAAGGCAAAACCCACATTAGTACCCAGGTTAAGACCTTCAGACCTAGGAACTGGAGAGTCTGGTGCCACCAACCTCAATGTAGAATTCAAAATAAGAGATCTAAACTGCAAAACGAATGTCAGGAAGTCAAGGCAGTTTTGATTTTTTTTTTCCCCAGTGATTACTTAATGCTTTTTTTTTTTTTTTTTTTGGTTTGTAGGCCTCTCA